GACTGGTCTGGAACTGTGATCCTTCTGATCTCAGCATCTTGCATAGAAACTTAAGTTTTTTGGTCAAAGGCAAGAAAGCAGATTAGAAACACCCACTGTTTTGACTCCATGAATGAGAAAACTCAAGAGAGTCTTTATCCTGAAGAAAGAAAGAGAGAAAGAATCCTGGGAATCACACAAGAGGTGGCAAAATAAAAATGAGCAAGGAAAAGCAAAGATACCAGAGAAATCAGCAAAAAGTTCCAAACCCAACGCTTGCTCCTCTTGGGAAGGGGAGGGGAACTAAAGACCCAACCAGAAGGTGATACAAAGGATCCTAGTGACCCTCCGTTACTGCATTTTCAGGTGCAAAAAATGCCCATATCTCCCACAAGCCTGAAATCCACCTCAAGGATTAAGTGAGATACTGTTCTGATATACAGCAATAATTCTGTTCAGTAATTACAAGCAAGAGCAGGAATTCTAGTGCATCCTTATTCATCCACCAAAGTGTGTGAGAGGGCAGAAAGACAAAATTCCACTTGGAAAGTGCAGAGTGCCCATTGAGCTCTTTTGTTTGTTTGTTTTGGTTTTCCTCTATACCTCCAAACAACACTAACCAATCAGAATTTCAGTTGAGACTCTGCGTGGACCCAGCAAATCAGTGGAGGTTCCCACCCTCACTATTTCACAGATGTTAACCTTCTTGAGAAGACAGAGGGGACGATATGCTATACTGACTGAGCGGTCCAACAGAGTAACTGGGGAGAAGAGTGCAGGCTTCTTGCAGAAGGTACCTTAGGAGGAGCATGTTAACCACAAAGTTTTCAGCCCCTGCTCACTGGAAATTGCCCCACCCATACCAATAGCTGCCATTTCAGGAAGCAGCCCCACCTAAAGCGAAGATGGAGATAGGAAGTTCCACCTGCCTATCCTGTGTGATGCCATCCTGAAGCAGCCCCACTCACAGAACTAGAAGCCATCACCCAGTGGAAAACTGTGTTCTAAAACTCTGCTAAGCTGCACTGTAAGCTCACTGGCAGTGTTAGGAACCCATGCCCACCAAACGAATCATGTAACTGGGAGGCACCACTTGTTTGGGCCAGGGTTCCAGAAGAAGCTCCAAACTCCAAGGGACACAACTACTTGGTAGCCCTGCCCCTCTGAAGAGAATGCTATAGCACCCAGCAGCGCAATTTGTGCCTAGAATGTAGCTGGAGTACCTAAATACATTAGAAAGATAGAGACTTCTGCAGGTCAAAGATTGGAAGAGAATATCAGATACTTGAACAGGATCCAGTATATATACACATTTCTCCTCAACAAGAAATACAGGGTAGTTATTTTGTTTAATTTAGTGTACTTTGTATACCTATTGTTTTGTGGGGGGATTGTTTGTTTTGGGTTTTCTTCTTCATTTTAAATATTTTCTATTTCCCAAAGCATTTTGTACTTCTCTGTGAATATATGGTGCTCTCTCATACTTCTCCCTTGTAAGAAATACATTCACCTGTCCAAACTAAAGGAATGGACTTAGAGACAAATGGAGTACAGTGGAAGAGAGATATTGCAAGATAGGTGCCTGAGGAGAAGACATTCTGGAAGTGGTTAGAACAAGCATTTTATTCTCTAGTGTGCAAGTCCCTTCCCTTGGTCCTCATTGGCTGAGTATTATGGAGTGTATATTCTTCTCCCTGAGGTTGCCTAGATTTCCTATTGGGTTATTTTAAAATATGCCTTTCCTGGAATTGGTCAAATTTGAGGCAGAGTGGTGTTCACCTTCCTTTATGGTGGGAAGATCTCCCTGTGATATGTGCTTTCTGGCATGCACATAGTTTTTACCCATTTCCTCACTCTATTGTGATTCACCCCTTCCAGTTTAAATTCCCTTATCAGTTGCCACTCCCCAACATCCACAGCTGATATTCAAGGAAGTGGATTGGGTTAAATTCTTGAAAATGGACCAACACTTACTTTATTTCTAACATCTTCACTTCTCACTTTTTTCCTTTCCACATCCTCATGTTTTCTACTACTTCATTTTTAATACCTGTGCACTTAATTATTGTTAAGCCCCAAGGTCATACCTAACAAACTGTCTTCTTTTCCTGAGAAACAAATTGGGAAAGTGAGTTTCTCCTCATTTCTTCCTTCATTTAAATACTTGGTTATTGTTTGATTATTGACCTTATTTTGCAGTCTGCTCTGTCACATCTGAGAGGAACTAAAGGAGAAACTCATCCGCAATAGATATTCAGATTACATCACAGAAACAAATATGAATAGGCAAGACAATATCATGACTCCCAAACTGCACAACACAATAACTGAATCCAAAGACAATTACTGTCAGATACAGAATTCAAATTCTACTTCAAAAATTATCAATGACCTCAAAGAGGATGCAAAGAAAGAAAAAAAGTTAGGAAATCAATTTAAGAGCTAGATGAGCGTCCACAACACAGATGAGAAACTCATCAAGGAAATGGAAATAGTTGAAAACAACCCAGAAAATGTTAGAAATGGAAGTTCAAAAAACCAAATAAAATCCACAGTGAATCATACCTTCAACAGACAAAATCAAGCCAAAGAAAGAATATTGGTGATGGAAAGATAAGAGTGAAGGATTATTGCACTCAAACAATAATGAGGAAAAATGAATAACTTTCTAAATTTTAAAGAACTCGGAGACACAATCAAAAGATCAAACTGGGAATCCATAGGTAGAAGAAGGAGCTGAATACAATAAAAAGGCATAGGAAACCTAGTCAATGAAATCAGGGCAGAAAATTTTTCTAAAGATATAGACACTCATGTACAGGAGGCAAAAAACAGATTGTCTGATTGTATCAAAATGCAGATTCCAGTCATTCTGACAAACTGTGAGCTCAGATTGACTCCTTTTTTGGGATTGGGTACCCAATCTGAAATTAAATTCATGGTTTGCACTAGGGGACAACACATCCTCTAACTGCAATTTCTACTATGCTGTCATTATTGTTTACATGTTACTTACTAACTCTTTAGTGTAGGTGAGGCCCCAAAGTCCTTATTTGAACTAACACATATTCTCTTTTCTTTGCCTAATGGATCCATGTCCAGCCATGAACTATTAACTTATTCCCTCCAAAAACTTCTTCACATTCACAACACTTTCTGTCCTCTAGAGTTTGAGAACAAATGTCTTTGTGTTCACAGCCTAAACTTCCAACCATTTTTGTGACTTGAGTGCTTCCAAAGTCCTTCCAGCATGCATTCCTCACTGTATATGCTCTCTTTTCTATAACATCAAACTCAATTTATGTTTTCCTTTAGTCACTCACATGTTTATCTCTTGTGCTGGAATGAAATGGCATCTACAATGTCACATAGGTATTTTTCAGCTCCATTGTAGTTTTGTGGGACTGCTGTTATCTATGCAGCCTATCATTGACCATGGAATCATTAGATAGCACATGATTGAGAATAGAACAACTATTCTAAATTTTAATTTGTGCTTCACCATTCCAAGGCAATGTCTCTGAAGGCCTCTTTCTGATCACTAGCAGAGAACCTCGGAAGTTCTTTGTTTAAAGGGAATCACACTTTTACATTACTTTTGTAAATGTCATTAAGGAAAGTAGGGCTCCTATCTCCCAGCTTCTAGGAGAGGCTTAGAGTATAATTTCAGTGGACCCTACACTCCAAGATGCAACCGATATCTGCCATGATGATAGGAGATAGGATTAGCTAGTGTGAAAAATGGTGCTGTCTATTCCTCCTACTTGAGGACTAGTTACTATTTATATCTTGAAAACATATGTAATAAGATTATTGCTTGGCTATATAGAAGGGTAAGATTTTTCTGTCTTTCATATTGCCCTAGCAGATTGCCTGTGATGTGCATCACATTCTGGTGTAATGTTTATTCACTAATAAAGGTGGTTTCTTCTTGTACCTTTATGGAGAGATTTTTGGGAAAAGAGAATTTGTTTTAAATTATATTTCCCAAAACTTTATATTGAGGCTCATTCCTCCATCTACTTAATTTTTGTCATTTATTCATGGTGAAGATTGATAACAGTACCTTATCTTGAAAATTTTAATGAAGTCTTCCTGCATATTGGTAAAATCCTGAAATCATGTCTTATAATTGTATAAATACTATTCATGGTAAGAAACAGCTCACTGATTATTCTTTGTTTTTAAAATATATTACCTGGAAGTTTTAATTGCTACCTTCTGTTAGTAGAACCATTTATTGCTGTGACAAAACACCTGAGTAGAACAATTTAAGGGAGGAAAAATTTATTTGGTTCACAGTTTCAGAGGTGTTAGTTCATCATGGTGAGTAGGGAAAGACAGAGAAAAGCAGCTTGCATTATGGTGGTCAGGAAAGAGAGAGAGAGAGGAGGGTGGGTGGGAAAACAGGAGCGTATGGAGAAATAGGAGAGAGGGATAATTGTTCTTTCTGGGTTTCTCCTTTCACCTATCTATGCTATTTGGATCCCAAGCTCATGAAATAGTGTTGCCCATATTCACAGCGGGTCTTCTCCCCTTTAGTTCTCTCTGAAATACTTTTAGAGGTACTTCTGGTAGACACGTCTCAATTCATCAATGTTGACAATAAATTAACAATCATAAGTCACAAGGTTGGCACTAAGTTGCTGTCAGATCAAGCAGTAACCCGGCTTCTTAGACACAGCTGCATTTTCGGCCCTGGTGCTTCAGAATGCTGATCAAGGTGAAAGGAGTTATTGAAAAGCAACTTCATAGGCAGTCAATGAGTGAGTTTCTTATAGGAAA